CGCCGCCTCTTAGCTCCGGAATCCGGTTCACTTCCAGCTCCAAAAAATTGTCGGTCTAGAGGCAAGAGCTTCGGAGCTAAGAGGCGGCGTCGCTTACGTCTCTCTTACGTCGAGGCGGGGGCAGGGGCAGATTCGTCGTTGATGCTGAAGACCACAAAGAAGTCTTGCATTTCGCATGTGATGTTTGTAAAGTTCCAAGTAAAGTCGTCCCTTGTAAAGTCGTCCGATGACTTCCATGTCGTTTCGTAAGAGGATAACCAAAGCGAACAGCGCTTCAATACAATCGGCCATTGTTGTTGTTGTCGATGTGAGGGATTTCCGCGGTTTGGATTTTATGAAGCAGGCACGTAAACGGTGACGTCATGACGCAGCAGCAGCAGCTCTGGGCGGTGTGAACAGAGCGGGAGCAGAAAAGGGAAACCGGAGCTGAACCAGAAAAGCTCCCGCTCGGAGCTAGAAAGGGGAAAGCGCTGGTGTGAAAGCCGCATGAGTCGGGCCAGAAAAAAGGTGAAAAAGTAGCCCCGGGCCAAAACTAGGCCAAGTGGAAACGCAACCAAAAACGGGCCCCGCACGGCTCGGCACGGTTAAAGCGAGCTACCCGCTGCAGTGGAAACGCGCCATAGGTGTTCTAGTTATTTCATATAAGTAGTTTGACTGTACATTCATTAGGAGAGCGGGCTAGAAATGAGTTAATGACTTGGAGTTTAAAGCTAAAATGTACATGTTTGCGTGGGGCAGTACAAACTGACACATTTAAACAGCTTATCCTATGAAGTAATGTCAATAAATGAAATGCATAGAACAAACCCTTGGAATGAAGGGAGCCCCGCACGGCACATTTGATCTGTTGTCTGCTTTACTTCAATACGATGAGATGTTAGACTGATTACATCTGCTGCTTTTTAGTTTGAGCACACCACGCGTCAGATGTTTGGTAAAACTGTCTTTGCACTGAGAGGGTAATACCTGCATCGTGCTTATCACCAGTCCACTTTATCACTCAATGTGTGCTGGAGAGATTATTGACGCCATAATGCAATGTTGAGACAACGCCACTGTTTTCATAGAGAAGGGTGTCTCAACCTTCTAAGAAAAGAAACCCCCCTCTGTTTAGTCTTTGACTTATTTAGTACTAGGTTTGGAAAAGATATGATAGCTAAATGAATCTTGTAGTTTTGGAGGGCTTTCAGACTTAAAGATAATAGAGTATGAAGATACTTTCTCATGCTCCTTAGCAGACTCCTACCTTTTTTCATTAGTCCATGCTTTTTCAAATCTATTTATTTGTCTTTACGCTTAACATTAGATCTGTTTGAACTATTCAATTGAACATTTTTCAGTTTCACAGACATTTAAAGACATTGTACCTTGACATTTTAGAAACTAGGGTGAACATTTTCACTATTTTACTACCTTTTATCGACCAAACAATGAAAATATTCGGGAGAGGACTCGATAATGAACAGTCATTGATTACGTTTAATACATGAATTACTGTTAATATTGGCTTCTCAAAGAAATGCAGACATGTGATTTAAATCATCTTTGAGTCAAAGCATTCACCTTAGATGTTATGCCCTGATTTACTTTATTCAAAGTCATTGTTTTTGTTTATAAACCTTAGCAGCAGATACGATAACGGGGCTCTTTGATAGTTCAAACTTCAAGATACAGCTGCTTGTTATCCGTGTACTTTGGTCTTCATGTGTCTGTCGATTCACTGCACAATGCTACAAGCCCACAGAAATGATTTGGCCCTCTTTGGGGCTAAACTGAAACTAACTACTCAGCTGGACAGAGGCTAGCTTTGAAAAGATTGTTAGTTTGCAGTCAGTTTATTAATATTAGTTGAATTCCCAGGCTGAAGACCACTGGTGTTTCACTGCAGTCCTTCGCGTGTGTCTTCTTTAAATGTCTTTTTGTTGTATACGAACGCCATGTTTTCTAGAAGTCACCACATACTTTCCAACTAAGGAGAGCCGTGTGTGTTAGAATTAGAAGTGTGTATCTCTCAATCTCTCTCACTCTTTTTCTGCTGCTCATTATCCAGACTCAGACTGGACTTGCTCCAAGGTCAGAGCTGTGAGGCAATGGCCCAGATTTTCTATTCGCCGGCGCCCCTCCCTTTTATTATCCTCTGTCAGCGCTTTCACAAGTTCACCCTGCAAGCTCAAGTTACGAGATTAGAAAGAACCAGTCATGTTCTCGTGGTTGCATCGAAAGCCAGAGAGCGACTGACAGACAATCGAGTTGGTTTTCCAAGTATGATTTTTTTTAAACCATTAGTATTTCAGGGAAAGGGTGTGTCTGACTTTGTTCATGAGTCATGACTATGCCGCCTTCAGTCACTCAGTTTTACACATTCACATCTGAGAGCTTCTCTTTAAAGGTGCCCTCCTGTTCGCCTCTGAGCAGCTACACCTGAACACATGAGGTCAAAGTCTTTCATAAAGGACATAGGTGTTGTTGAAAGAATGAAGAGTAACCCAAGATTTAAAAACACAGACCTGCCTGACATGTATTCAGAACTTGGTAATAACTTTACAATAGATGTTGATAGATTAGTAAACGTGTTATTGAGGTGGCCTTTGTGTGGGAAGAGAATCGGAGTCATTTCCCCCCAAATCTTCCAGTAATGACTAATCTGGGACTTGCTGCTCTCTGAAAGCCTAAGCCCTTTCCTCTGGCTGCTGCCTGCAACATGCCTAGTGTGTGAGTATAGAAAAATATAAGAAGAGCTCAACACTCGTCTTCCAAAAAAGTCAGACACCAGAGGCCATCAGCAGCCAAAGTCATTATCTGGGTTATTCATAAAAGAAATGAACTTTGCCTGAAGCATCTCTCAAAAGCAAACGGGGCTTTTAAAATGAGCTTTTGACCAGGATTAATGTCTGTGTGAAAGGGACAAGCTCTTTATTGCTTTTGCCCCTGTTTGCCCTACTGGTGTACTTAAGTCCTTCTATCCACTATGTTTTGGGTTAACAAAATGTCACTGCACCGATGCTCGGTGACACTGTTCCCATGTTGCAAGCTGTGCTAGTAGACTAAGTTTAATGAATTGGTAGAGAAGATGTATAGAAACTTGATTGAACTGATGCAAGTTTATGGTCTTGAAGTATATGTTTGAATGTATTGCGGACAAAAGGTGAGTACATTATTTATGACATACAGTTCATCCTTTTAGCAGTATAAGTTTAGTGGCCAGTACTACTTATTTTTCTGGGTTGATGCATGATTAAAGAAATATATACGTATATCACAAAGCACACCAACACAATGCGTTAGATTAAGTATATATAAGTATCATTATTAAAGCAGATTGTATACAGTAGATACAGTAATGGTATTCTGCACATGTACACAGGAAACCTTGATTGTGCATCACTTGCCAAAAGCGCTCAGTCGCCTCGTTCCCCTGACAGCGAGCAGATGTTGGCAGCTGTCAGAGTGACGCCACATGGAAGAACAAACAGCTTGAGGGGGTTTGGGGAATGCCACCCGCTGCCACTGCACGTGTCACTCTTAATCCCTTGGCTCTATACTGACACACACACGTTCACAGTCCTATATGACATGTAGAAAAAGATACATGTACATCCACAGGGCAAGAGATCTGGACAATCAGTTTTACGATAAATTAACAAAAAGGCACAGAATGCTCCAGCTACACCTGTCAATGTTTACTACTCCGGTGTTGCCATTTTGGAATGTGAACTTAACTTTTAGCTTTTTTTATTATTGCTAAACTTTTGCAAATGTGGAACATGCATCAACTTGAAGCCACATCTTAGCTGTAGGATATAAAGCGCCTTTCCTGCTGTCGTATCCTCGAGTCAGGTAAATAACAAAAGTATCTCCTTCATAACATGATTAATAATGATTGGACTTTAAAAAAAATAACCTACGCCAAGAAAGTCATGTTTTTTGGTTTGTTTGCTTGTCAGACGGATTACGGAAACAACACTAGACAGATCCATGAAACTTGATGAAAGGGTTTATGCTGCATGAGCCAATGAAGAACCCATCGTTTCTTTTGGAGCTGATCCGAATCAGGGGGCGGATATATTTTCACTTTCGTTAACATTGATAGAGGATCTGGCAGAGGTTTGCGCTCTCCATCGACCTCCATGTGTCACTTCTGCTGCAGTCGTCCTGTGTACAGTAGTAAAGCCATCTGTCAGACAATAATGTAAGGTTACAATAACAAGTTAAACTGCATAGATTTCTATCAAAAATGACTTCTGATTCATTCAGCAAGCCTCTGCTGCGGCGAGGTTTTTTAGTCGTGGCGCTCGTGTGCTCGTAGGCTGTTGATCCTGTGGAGAACCGAGCTGTGCCTTGTCACATTTTGAGGGGCAGACTGCCAGACTTAACTCCAAGTGGCATTACCCAAAATGGCAGCTCTCAGTTTGGCTGCCTCTCATGGTGTGTGTTTCTGAGCCTGGCTGTGTCAGAACGGTGGAAGTGTACAATATCATGTCGTTTTCAGAGGCTACAGTTGTACAATATGGGCTTGTTGGTGAATTAGAATTGTTCCATCTAGCTTGAACTCCCCCCTGGTTAAGATGATGACAAATATAGAACAGTCAAGCAAATATGAGTCCAATAATCATAGAGCATGATGTCATACATCAGGTAATCCTTATATGATGTCAGTTATAATATGCTCTTCTAATTCTTTATATGTGTGCGCTGTTCAATGCTTCCCTTCTATTTAAAAGTATTGACTCAAACATTAAAGGTCTTAGCTTGTGAAATAAGCATGTTTACTTTGTGCACTGAACGCAGGACACATGACAAATGGTAGAAAGGTAATAATGTTGCAAAGACTGTCAACCAAAGTGGTACATAGGGAGTTAATTTTCTTCTATTTAGGATTCCCCAGCAGTGTCTCTTTTCCCTCATCTTTAAGCGTGTGAATGCTTCTCTGGGTCAGCGAAGTCGATAGTATTGACTCATGTTTACACTTGATTTCAAATTCTTTTCTTCTTCCCCCACAGAGCGACCATAGAGGAAGTGGAGGGGGATGTGTGTGAGTTGGAATCCAAGCTCGACAAAGTGAGTACCACCCATGGAAAACATTGCTTGATTGTTCATTTGTTTTACTGTTTGAACTGACGGAGGCCGTCATGTGAGTGGAAAGCTGCAGGTTTGTCTCTGTCCGCAGAATATCCTCTCAGATTGCCTTTTGAGTAAGATGACCAATGCATTATGGGCTGTAACCTATGGCGGTAACGGGACAATTCACTTCTGTTATTCCTAAAAAAGCACGACCAAATCCATTGTTTGAGTTGAACAGTGACTCTGAAGTTGGAGTAGATCACATCTCTGTTCATTTCCAACACAAAACAACATCTACACCAACATGTGACTTTAAACATCTTTATTCTTACAACTACATTCTGTTTACTAAATCATAAACAAACATTGAGCATTGACCAGACAATGGAAAAATGTGTGCCTTTTTTAAACTGTGTATGGTTGGTGTTGTTTCTAATGCAGACGTGGATGGAAAAACAATATTAGGGATTCAGATTACAGTCCTTGTATATAGATAGATATGTTCTCTTTGGACTAGTGTTGATGTTCAGCAAGTCACACTAACTTGTGTGACTTGACTTTTTAGGTAGCGTCTAACTTTCACACAGGAACCTGTAAAGTAGCCTTTTGTCTTTGTTTCCTGTTGATGGTTCAGATTATATTCTCTTGCCTTGGGAGCCGCATCAGAGTTCATCTCACTAATTGTTCTCAAATGAACCAAACTAAACTAATAAACCAACCAAGGTAACTAGAAGCACTCAGTATTTGTCCTTCTCTGAAAGAAAAAGCAATCCCTCCTGCTGTCGACTCCCCGCAGAGCTGAGAGCATGTTCCCTAGCTGAGGGCGAGACCTGGAGCTTGGAAGAACCCAGTTTATTGTTTCTGGACTTACAGTCTTAAAGAGTCCCACCCTCCTCCTCCTCCTCCTCCTCCTCCTCCTCCTCCTCCTCCTCCTCCTCCTCCTCCTCCTCCTCCTCCTCCTCCTCCTCCTCCTCCTCCTCCTCCTCCTCCTCCTCCTCCTCCTCCTCCTCCTCCTCCTCCTCCTCCTCCTCACCCCACCTCTGTGACTCAGCCCCGGCCTCACTTCCCCCTCTGCTCTGGAGAGGAAGGATCTGCTGGAGAGTGGGTGTGTCTGTGTGCATAAGTATGGCTGTGAGACTGTATGTGAGTGTGTACGTGTTTCTGGGTGGAGGCGAGAGAAAACGGGCTGAAGACCACAGAGATCAACTCTTTCTTGAAGCTTCCTACCTGCCACGCATATACACAAACTTTTAACTGAGCCAATATTAAATCTGGTCATAAAAGGACTACTTTCCTAAGAGACTGATTACTCCAACAGTGGTTAGCTGTTTATAGCTTTCTTGTTACCGGGTCAGTTTTGATTAAAACTGTGGTTCTATTTATTTTAAGTAAAATAATCCCTCATGGTGGTCACAGTTTCTTGCTCTTTTCAATGGTCTAACTGAAAGATGTCTGCACAACATTTAGTTAACAAATGATTTACATACAAATTATAAGACAAATAATACATTATTTTTAGAAACATCAACTAGATTTAGCAAACTATGAAACGAATACACTCATAGCAGTGTTTCCCCCTAGGTTTACTGCTTTGGGGGGGTGCTGCCTGAGCGGGGGGGAGCATTGGGATATATATTTTTTAAATCCTCTGGAGCAGAGAGAGGAGCTGTGGATTATTGTTATTGATTAATGCATCAGTGTTTCTTAGGGTCAAAAGCACTAAACTCACAATTTAAAATGAAAGCGTTTTAGTGTATAGATAAAAAAAAAAAATTATAATACATTTTTTTAAACACCTTGAATATCAGGGGGGGGCGCGGGGCTCCGTTGGCCGGGCGTAGCACCCCTCCAAGACAATAGTAGGGGAAACACTGCATAGTTACCAGTCCAGGTCCCCTAACTAATTCAGTCTTATACAACCTTCCTGCAATTATTTATGCTTTCATGAAGGTCATATGTTACGTTTTTGGTTAAAGAAGAGAGTTGATTCCATCGTCCGGTCATTTGTGAGGCGGAAAGAGAGAAAAAGTAATTATCTTGTGCAAAGGGGATCAAACAGGAAATACAGTGTGTGTGTGTGTGTGTGTGTGTGTGTGTGTGTGTGTGTGTGTGTGTGTGTGTGTGTGTGTGTGTGTGTGTGTGTGTGTGTGTGTGTGTGTGTGTGTGTGTGTGTGTGTGTGTGTGTGTGTGTGTGTGTGTGTGTGTGTGTGTGTGTGTGTGTGTGTGTGTGTGTGTGTGTGTGTGTGTGTGTGTGTGTGTGTGTGTGTGTGTGTGTGTGTGTGTGTGTGTGTGTGTGTGTGTGTGTGTGTGTGTGTGTGTGTGTGTGGTGTGTGTTGTGTGTGTTGTGTGTGTGTGTGTGTGTGTGTGTGTGTGTGTGTGTGTTGTGTGTGTGGTGTGTGTGTGTGTGTGTGTGTGTGTGTGTGTGTGTGTGTGTGTGTGTGTGTGTGTGTGTGTGTGTGTGTGTGTGTGTGTGTGTGTGTGTGTGTGTGTGTTTTTAATGCATGCGTTATGTGTATTTAGGTAAAAGATTAACATCAACCTTGACATGACCTGCTGATGTTTAAAAGTGTCCTGCGTAAAACAAGCACCTATTAGGTCACTTAAAAAGTTACATATTACCTTCTGACCTGCTGCTAAGACGGTTTTATAGGTATACCTAAATTAATGTAGTTTTCCTATTCTGTATTGTAATGGGATACCACAATTTGAGTGACAGCATTATTAATATTAGTTTGATGTGAGGGAAATTATTTGCTTGTGTTTTATCTAATTTCAGATTTCCCCCATTAAATAATCAATATCAATCGATCAAATACTTTCTAGAAGGAAAGACATTACATTTGTGTTTTATCAGCTTTAATCTGTTAATCACTGTCTAATCTGTTAAGGAGATTGCTATAAGAAAAGGAGTGTTTTTGGGTAAGTTATGCAGCTGCTTTGGCTGAAGAGGCATACTTAGGGTCGCTTTCATCTGCAGTGTGGGACTTGATGGAGAACAGCCAGTGTTTGTTGTGAGTTTACATAACCTGGAATTATGTTTGCCCCAAATGAGTCAGACGGGAAAGAAGTGCCTGCTGTTAACCAGAAACTGACGTCAGTGTTAGCTCTTCTTTGTTTCAATAAATCCCTCTGAATCTATTTTAAGCAGCAAACTTGAAGTGTTTTTAATAAGACAGGATGTCATGAAGAAATGCCCGACTTTGTTCTAGTTTCTCTTCGCTATAAGTTTTATCATCTTCTCTTTATTCTGTCAATTACTGCATTTCTTCATGTCTCTATTTTCACCCCCTAACCACCTGCCTCTTTCTTTTTCTCTCCCTAGTTGGTGAAGTTGTGCATTGGGATGATTGACGCTGGGAAAGCCTACAATGCAGCCAACAGGCAGTTTGTCAGCGGGATCCGGGAGCTAGCCCAGCAGTCCACCAAAGATGAGGTCATAGAGGTAAACAAAAAAACTTGATCTGAATCAACAGCATTACAGAGTGGGTGTGTTTCTCTTGTCATGTATGGGGGCAGTCTTTTGTCCACCTTAAATTCAATGATGACATATTTGATAAGATTTCAAGTTATTATTCGTATTAAAAAAAACATAAACATTACACAAATTGGCATAGTGGTTGATTCTTCCTGGTTCCAAGATATAGAGACCTGCACTGCCTCCGTTTGCACTCACTACCTCCTTTCATTGTTTAAAGTATGTTCAATTTGCCAGGTTGAATCTATAAAAAGAAAAATGAGGCATAGTAAAACCTTGTACTGTCCACCGGGTCTTGCCAAGGTCAAGATGTTTTGTTTTGCTTTCTCACATTACTTTTGCATGGCGAGGCAAGCGCTTCCTCTCTGCCTCTCCCTTGGGTTACAGTTCAGCCTCTGAATGTATTTGGTGGGAGCAACTTAGCACACTCTCCCAAAGTGTTATTGTGTCTCCAAAATACACCACAGTTCTCATGTAACAATACCTGTCCGACAAAAGACTTGTGTTTGTCTAGACATATGTGATGAAACATGTAGTAGACATTTGCCTCTTACTTTCTTTAATACAGGTAGTACCTCATAAATAGATGACATGTGCGCTTTGTGATAATGTTTATGTAATTGATATTAAATACATGCCAATTCTCTTCATCTCTGTCATTTTGTTCTCCCCACAGTCGAGTCTCACAAAGTTTGCTGAAAGCCTGCAGGAGATGATCAACTATCACACGGTATGCATTCACTGCCATGTGAAACCGGATGTGTTGTCCTTGTTTTATAAACCCATTTGCAGCTGGTTGATGACAAAACTCAGCTGTGCCGACAGTCTGGAAGAGCTCTTTAACTGTCAGAGTTTTTATTTACTGCGCAGAAGGACAGCAGCAGACTACAAGACAGAGACACTGGGTCTGTGAGAGGATGACTAGGAGTTGAGAGGAATTGCTCTATAGACAATTAGCATTACTGTAGAAATGTGCAAACTTTGGCTTACGTACAATATGGTAAGACGCCTAAAACCCCCTCCTTTGATACATTTCTTATGTTAGAAGCATAGCAATGAAATCAATTCCCTGCCTCCCATATTGTGGAATCTGGAGTATCTGTTGGAATGAATCATGTGCTACCGAGGTAAACATGTACGTGGTAATTTTTTTTACAATGTGGTTGTCACCCTGGAGACACAGGAAAAACCATAATAGGCTTCAGTCAGACTTTTCTGTTCAGTTTCATGTGTTCTCCACGGTCCAACCACTAGATATTTGACGATAAATAACCATGGCTCCTTATTGATGAGGGACGTTATCCTCTCACGTCCCTCATCACGCTCTCCAAGGAGCCTGGTAGCACAGATCTAATGATGTGGACATTCTTTCCCAGAGTCCCCTTGGTAGTCTCCTCAGTTGTCAGTCTCTGGTGATACTGACATCCAGAAATGCAAACACAACTTTGTTTGTCCTCTCATTAAGACTCCCATGATGACAGAGATGAGGCACAGGGTGAGCTAGAGGCACTTGTTCTATAGATGAAGTGTTTTGCTTGATCTCCCTTGTCATGTCTTGTTTCTTTTACGTTTGCATAACATGTTCAGAGTGCATCCCACTGTGTGCGACATGTTTGGTAGAACAAACAACCGAGCCAGGGGTGCCGCTACTGGGGTTTGACCTTTTGAAGTCTTTATGCACGGGAACTTTACCCGCTATTAATATGAATCCCTAAAATGGTTTGGGTTCACAAACTGGAATATGATTGAACAGACAAACTCAAATGAATTGTCTTGATGAAGCCACACTTCTACTAAATTGTTAAAAGGCCTTTTCTGCATATCTGCCATTGATGTTATCATTGCTACTGCCACAACTACGTATATGATTTGTGTGATGCAAAATAAGTTAGAGGGACTTTTATTTGGATATATTTATTTTATGAATTGATCCGTTAATGACAGAAAATGTATCAGCTACTGTTTTAAACATGGGTTATTGTTGAAGTAATTTTTAAAGCCAAAATGCCAAACATTTGGTGTTTGAAACTTTCCTAAGAACAAAGTGAAAAAATGGATTAAATCAGATCGTTGATTGTGTAGTATATCAATTAGAGGTTTGGGCTAGTTTGGTTCAGGTTTAGTTTAATTTGGTTTTACAGACGGTGTTGGTTCCACCTTAAATTCAGACTGTAACGTTCCCAGATTAAATGAGATACAGATCTATTTGAACGAATATACCAAAAACCTGCAGCGTTGGCAATCTACCCTGACTCAACAGGGAAGTCTTTCTTCATCAAATCTTATTAGCTTCCTTCACTGGACCCTTGAAGCCCCCGGCAGCCACAATGCCGGCCTGGGACTGTTACTCAACAGTGGAATCTGCGGTCGCATCAGCTGACTGTCGGATAGGTTTTTGCCGCTCAGCGATCTTTCAGCACATGATTCACTCAAACACAGAGCTCAATCTGTTTGTCACTCGGAGCCTCTCCCAGCCACACTGCTCATATTGTCTTGTCTGGCTGTGAAATCACTTCAGTGTTCAGGGTTGTTGTTTGGCCTTTTGCTTGGTAGCCCATTTTTAGGAGGCACGCAGGTCAATGAGACTATGACTCACTGGCAAAAATAAGCGAGTCGGGTCAATTCTCGTGTTTTTGTTTTTATGAGGGGAATGTACACACACAGCTTGTTTGCGTATATTTAGCTGCCTAATTGCAACCTGCAGTGTTACAAAAATCCCCCTAAACAGGGGTGCCATATGCTGACTTGCAAAACACCCAAAGGGCCTGGAGAGTAAAATACAGTTATCAGCTCTTTCCTGGTTTCCTAGAAGAAGATGTTTAATGCTGGAACTGTTCAACTATAGAGAAGCTTTTTAGCAAAGCATAAGCATTTACCGTTTCCTTCTTTCCTTCCTCACAGATATTATTCGATCAGGCCCAGAGATCAATCAAGATCCAGCTTCAGACATTTATCAAAGAGTGAGTATTCGTTGAATAAAGATGGACAAGGCTGGTTATATCTCTGAGCAATCTGAGCCTTTGAAGAATGGCTAATCTCTCTGTCTAATCTCTCCGTCATAACAAGCTGCTGCACTTTTAGACTTTTACTATATATAAATAAACATTGATTGATTGATACTCATGCTTGTATTCAGATCAACTTAAAAAACTGGAGTTAATATTCTTCAAACCCATCTAAAACCTGGAGAAAATATTTACTAGCTATTGAATAGAGAAAGCCCTTTCTGGAAATTCTGAAAATAAAGCAGAAGCTGGGGGGGATGTCACATATCTGATGGACAGATGATCAAGACAGGGCATGCAAGTCATTTAAGTACATATAACAATATTTTCTATATAATATCTCCCGGTTTAAAACCTTCTTATACAGAACTGAATTCCAGACTGCTTGTATAAGTGCAGTAAGCAGTGGGGCCTTTCAGTTCATTTCATTATGAGGATTAGCTGTCCCTGGCAAACCGAAGCTTAACACCCACATCAGCAGCACCCATGCTTCTCAAAGAAAGCTGGGATACATGTTCTATCATAATGACTCGCTACCGTGCAGCTCTTAAACATTAATCCCATTTAAAAACATTGAAAATACAACATTTAAAAAACGTTGTCCTCCTCTTCAAGTCACCTACACGGACTCAGCACAAGACCTGGGTCAAATAGTTTTAGCAAACAATTTTGTTTGTTTTAACCTTCCTGGATTTCCAGCTGACCAAGATATGAAATCACCTTTAACCTTTGTGTGTTCCTGTTGCCGGACCATGGTGCTGTTGCTTCACATCCAGAGATAGCTTTGCTTCCTCTTACATTTCAACTTTCCCCCTTACAACATTGTTGACAACGTAGAGACATGTTCAATTTGACCCTAGTCAGGGAGTAAATAAAAAAAACCTTAAAACGTTATCCTTAGATTGTATGTAAATGCTGTTGCACCAGTGTAATAGTTGTAAAACCATCTATTTTCACCCAGCTCAATTAAAGACATATTTTTAGTGCTCAAAATGAGTGATTAGCAGCGATAAAAATATATTTGTAAAACATTTTTTCTCACATCCATATAAGTACCGTTTAATTAATTTTACAGCTGCCTGTTTGCCTAACTTAAATCTCAACTAATCAATACTTAAACTATATTTTAATTGAATGTATTTGTCTTAATAATCCTCTGTCCCCTGCATTTCTTTGACAGTGACCTACGTAAATTTAAAGAAGCCAAGAAGCAATTCGATAAAGTGAGCGAGGAAAAGGAGGCGGCGCTGATCAAGAACGCTCAGGCTCCCCGCAACAAGCAACATGAGGTGGAGGAGGCCACCAACATCCTCACCGCCACGCGCAAGTGCTTCCGACACATCGTCCTCGACTACGTCTTACAGGTACAGAAACTCATCTAGGGGTTTAAATTGAAGCACTCTTTAAAGGAGAGGTAATGAACAACATCTGCAAACGAGGTCACATTGTTTTAAGAGAAAAGTGTCGGGAGTCCCGTGTTGCACAAAATCTGTGGAAGCTTTTTAAAAATTTTAAAAAAGGCCAGCTAAGCAGAGTCGTGTACAATATTCCTCTGCGTACCATTGCCAACAAAGATCTGGATATTGAATTTATATGCTGAGTCAGGTTAAAAAAACGCTGACACAGAGAGGAATGAACAGCAGCTGTGTTCGCTTCTGTTAAATCTAAAGTGAAACACAGAATCTCATCCACCTGTCAGGTTCCAGTTAACCACGTCACAGTCCATTTGGATCAAAAAACAGTAGCAGCAGACCCGGGAGCAGCTGTTGAATTAGTAGCAGTGTCGACCAGAAGTGTAAACAGTAACCTGATAGTACATAGTTAGACTGTAAAGGTTTTTTTAACAATAATAAGAAAACTCATGTATAGCAGTTCTAGAAGGATTTTGCTACATTTTTATTGAACTATTTGTAAATAGAAATGGTATCAGAATGAGATAAGACACTCATTCATAAAAATGTTGAGGTTTTTTCATCTGTGTAGTGTGAAATAACTGTCAGGGATTAAATCTTAAATGCTGCATATCTCCTTTTATGAAAATATGTTCCTTCTAGTGAGCACAATTCTCAATCAGTGTACGTCTTGTACCTTTCTTTCTGTCGAAGCCAAACAGATGTCTTGTGCTCTGACCTTTTGCCATAAAAACTTCTCATTAATTGAATGCATCGGCCGAGCCCTCTGCATCTCGTCTTGGCCACAGCAGCAGCACTGATGAATGCTTCGTGCTCTCTGATAAAGCAGCTGCCAGCCCTGTTATTGAATCTCACTCCAAAGAAACAGACAATGCTCTATGGACACAATCCTTTTTAAAATTAGATTTAGAAAAGAAACCCAAAAGCTGGTTGAAAATAGGTTTGGCAGTCTGCCCCAGCAGCCCACTGCGTAATCACTCTCCAATCAAATGAAGCCTGGCTGTGAGAAATTAGTCGAGTTTTGTATCTTGCATGTTAGTCATGTTAATCTATAAGCCCAGCAGCTAGCACAGCTGATTTAATTTGGTCTCCTTTAAAGTTTCACTTTTGGGTTGTGCTGTCAGCACTTTTGAAATACTGCTAACTTCTGCAGCTCTGCTTTCAGGAAACATTTCAGACGGATTTTACTTTAAAAAAAATTCTTCTTTTTAGATTGTATGTGTGGCATTTTTGCTTAATTATACAGCGCACAGTTTCCAGAGACATGCAAGATGGTAGAGGGAGAAGAACATATATGTGAGAGGTTGTAAGCTAGACTTCATGACATTTTAAAAATGGAGCATTTCTCTTTACTCTACTGGGCCAAGTAGAGCTAGATCATACAACCTTTAAACATTGGGCTGACTTTATTGAATGTTGGTCAAGCCTAAAAGAGAAACACATCTAAATGTAATGAATGATTTGAACGCGCATCAGGCAGTAAAGCAGATAATACAGCCGTCTGACTTCATGCAGCTGTAACTTGACACCCCTGACATACGAACCATTAATACCATACACAGAAAAGCAGAAGCAACGTTAACACCCAGTAGAGAAAATGGGAGTTGTTAATCTACAAAATTTAACTAACAGGAAATTGCCCAATAATTCAAAATGTAAGCCTTCATGATTTACAACCATTTACCAACAAATTGCTCATAAATGTAGCTTGTGTAGGTTGACACCATAATGAACTTTGCTGTTTTAACAACCATCATTTATAGGTGTCATTCCAGTCAAAACTACTAATTGACTAATTGACTGTAATCAAAAAAGGAGGGGGCTTGTAAAGTGTTGATGCATCCTCCTCTGGGTATATGTTACATCTGTGTATAAACACCAAGTGTGGTTAGGGTTGTCAAGGAAAATGGCCTCACAATCTACATCGGAAACCATATTGATGGCCACAACAAGGATTTCAACTTTTGTTCATCACATTTTGAAGCTGCTATAACCACAATAAAATAAAAACAATTAGACCCAAGTTAATCTGTAAGCATGAGACTGTTTTTCAGAAGCTTCCTCACGTTCTATAGTAGCTGTATGCATGCACCATGCCCAGGCAATGACTCTACTCTCGCGCAGTCTTTAGTACCCCATCAGTCAAAATTAAGCTAACTAGCTCACTGGCTGTACTTACAAGCTGACATAATTGATCTCCACTCTGAGACATTAACCTAAGATAACTTCTCCAGACAGATGAGCAGCACAGAGCTAATTAGCTGCAGATGAAGAGGAGTATGCTTCAAACACACAAGCAGAGAGGGAGACGGGAGGCCATGATAATTGCAGCAGGATACTGTTGATGATATGCGAGACAGGCTACCACAGCATCCCTGAGTTAACACGGGACATGGAGCTCCTCCTAGTGTCGGTACGAGGAACTACGGTCCAGGAAAGCTTGGGGGAATTTTTTTCTGCTTCAGTTCAACTCATTTCATGCTCGTCTACTCTCTTTAATTTGTCCTTTTCTCTGGAAGTTCTTTTTTTTTATCTTAAGTCTCACCTCATTTCCCCTTGTGTCTTATGCTCTTTCTCTGTGTTCTTCTTTGATATCGTCACTGTTGATTACGTTTTATTTCTTTAGTTTGGTGTTGATGTTGTACATGTTGAGTTTCATCATAAATATGAAATCCTTTCTACTTCTTACAGTTCTATTTTTGTTCCTTACAGATCAACGTGCTACAATCAAAAAGAAGATCAGAAATCCTGAAATCAGTGAGTATACTTTTCTTACTTAAATGATTTATGCAGCATCCCTTCCGCTCTCTTAATATTCACAGTTTTCTCTCCACAGATGTTGTCCTTTATGTATGCCCACCTGACGTTCTTCCATCAAGGATATGACCTCTTCAGTGAACTACAACCTCTGATGAAACAGCTTGGAGGACAGGTACTGTACAGGCAACAGCACTACACACACACACACACACACACACACACACACACACACACACACACACACACACACACACACACACACAGATGCATATGTATCCGTTAAGAGGTTTTAAATGTCATCAAAACACAAAGCGTCAGCAGCAAATATATATATATATATTTATTATATACTTTTACATTTCTTTGTTTTTAAGGTGAACCCTTAATTTTGTCAGCAAGTAATTCATTTAAAGTGCTCACAATTTAGTTTGCCTTTTCCCCTTTATTTTAATTAAACAATTTGTTTAAATCCAAACATTAACTTAGTCGGGGACATCCGGCACTTGCAATGTTATTATAACATTCTGTATAAACTTTTGCAACATAAGCAAGCGTTAGTCTATTTCAAGCAGAGGAGCGGAATAATTGTTAGCTAAGTTTACATACCAGTGCTGTGTCAAGGGTAAACACTTGTTATTATCTAGACAAAGACAATGTTGTTTATAACCTAAAACGTGTTCATGTTCAGGGTTTATCAAGAGCTTAAAGTTAGTGTTTCAAGTGCAGACTTTGAAATGTGACTTTATCCATGGAGTTTGTACACAGTGTGTTTTCACTTTCATCATTAGGAAGCAGTACAACTGCACTGTGACCTCCAGACGCACTCTTCCTTTGTGTTTGTGTTCCTACCCTCTCAGTGTGGGTTTACTGCTATCTTTTCGCCAACTGATACTTTAGCTCTGCGAGTGTTTGTGTGCATCCTCTGATAAACGGAGCCTTCCCTCTGAGCCAGAGGATGGCCCGAATGTGACTTTAAGATGATTATCACAGTTGAGCTGCTCTTACAGTGGGTAGGAATGAGGAAGAAAGCAAGGGGGCTGGAAAAGTATTTTTCTCACAGTCAGTCGCATTGACTGTCAGCTGAGCAAACACAGCAAATAAACCTCAGATTGGTTTTGGAGGTTTTGGAATATAATCTCTGAGACTTGAGCAGTAGAAGAACTGGAGGAGAGGAACATGTTTCACAAGACTGGGTGAAAGACAAAGGAAGAAAGGAGACCAGTCACAGAGAGCTGGAGAGGAGCAGAAGATTAGAGGGTACTTCTTAAGAGAAAAGTGTAGCTTTGAAACATGTTTTTGTGACGGTTGAACCAACAACAAATTGAAGAAGGAAACAAACAGTATTTTTAATTTGAGAAACAGAAACATTTGGGAGCCAGATCTGAAGAGGTGGGACAGTGGTCCCCTACATTGGATCAGAGGAAAGAGGGATTTCTACCCTTCATGTTCTGGAGTTAGAACCATCTGACGGTTGGACGATCCAGAAATTGACAGACAGAACCAAAGAGTGCTGGGAGAAGAACATCGGGAGGAGAGCACCCACTTTGAAAGCAGATTGTAGGAAGGGATAAGAGGCGGAATGTAATCTTCTCAAAGGAAAAGTGATTGAAGTGGAATGGAGAGGCATGGACTGTAAGCCTGCCACACTCAAAACACAGCGAGGATTGTGTGAAGAAAAAGGAAGAGAAGTGCAAAAGAAAACAGATCGTGCAAGGAGAGAGGGAATGAGAGATGCAGCTGTGTATATACATGCGTTGTGGGGATCGTAAGCCTGTCACAATGAATTTGGAATAGTGCAAAACTTAAAGGAGAGGAAGAATAGAGGCCGAGCTGTGGGAAGCAGTGACAAGAGGATTGTGGATTATTTCTTTTCTGCCCTCCATCATGAAGCTGAAGAAAGTGGAGAGGCTGTGCAGGGAGGTGTGGAGGAGCTGTCAACAGGTCTGAAAATATGACTCGATGCCTGTAGTCAACGAGAAAGAGATCAAGGGCGGGGAAATTAGCATTAGAGATCAAAAACTGCTACTACTGTACGTTTTGGTCTTAATTTCAAAGTATGGTGAGAGGAAATGCTTGAAGTAAAATACAAATAAAGCTGGTTTTCTACCTCAGCTTGGTGTAAATGTAGTTGCATTGCATGATATTTCTGCAATGTGTTTATGCTTGGGAACTGTAAGCCAACTTATAAATAAAAAATAAAATGATTATATATAAAGGTAAGAAATGGTGGCCAAAAAATTGAAGTGAATTCAGTTTTTGAAGTTACACATAGTGATGTAGTTGCAGAAAACCAAAAGTAAGTGTTTGTGCTTGTTTGGGAATTAGTAACAAAGCTAGTATAAAGAGCAAGACAAAAAAAAAGTCAAAAGAGAAAGAAATAAGTAAAGACTAATCGATCAAGAAAGTGACAGTATTAACAAGACACATGGACATATTATTAATCAAAATCCTGTCTAAGATAAAAACAAAAATGGCTGGAGATCCTTTAAGGAGGTTTTTGAATGACCAATTTATGATTTATGTCAAATGTGCCACTTGTTCCATTGTAGCTTTTGGAAACAGCTGGACTTTGTCTAAATATAAACTAATCAGCTGATTGCATCGTTCCATGACACAAAGCCTCAGGATTGTACATGTGTTGAGTGAACATATTCATTCAAAAGGATGTTTTGTATCTTTTCCATGAATCATGCAGCTTGTCAGCATGGGGTAACATGTCGGGACAGATCTGAGCAATGTGACCCGAATTCTTCCGTGTGGTCTGTAGGAGACAAACAGAGTGAGACATCTCAGGCAATTGTCACTGGGGGCTGCGTAGTAAGATAGATAAGACGTTAGAGGTGAGACTGTCACAAATATGTGGAGACACAAGCCCACACACCTGCCTTTGTAGATACAGTAAAGCAGATAGATGGTCTGGACTGGACTAGTTGTCACAATGGGACGGGGAAAACATTTCCCATCTGATGTTATCAGCCTCTCGCACTGACGTCCACCCATTTCCTGTCCAAAGAAATCAAAAAGATTTGGCTCTCTCAAATTCTTCTCTGAAATTATTTGATTACAGCATTTTTGTCATATTTTCTATATTTTGTGATAGAAAAAACATTGAAAGCAGAATAATAATAATAATGCAAAAAATATAGGTTTCAAAATCTTAAAAGGCTTTTGCAGCACCAGAAAGGAAATAAAATTCCGCCCTCTTCCATCTCATTTTGCCCACTGACTTCTCTGTTAGCCATTAGCATGAATTGCCATTTAGCTGGAAGTTGTGGTACAGTATCTAGTGTCTATGAATCTACAGCAGGCATTTAAAGCATATAAGGAACAAAGCGTAGCTGTAGTAAACATGCAACATCCCGCCTTTAACATGCAGATAATGAATCTTTTGTGTTTAAGCCACTAGTCACGATGCTTAAGGTCAGATTGCAGCCACAGACTATCAAGAGGTTTAGAGTAGAAATTCACTGCTTTAAGGCAAAACAACACATTTTCACCGCTATGACCTCCACCAGTTCATTTAAGTCTTTTTTTAGATTTGTTGCCTTCTTCCCAAAAGATGCTTTGTACTCCTCTGGTCTACACTCGATGGTTACTCGAGGAGAATCAATCATGCCCCATCCAATTTCACACATGATGAAGCCTCCACAGCACGGTCCATTTTGTTTAGAGAAGGCCTGTCTTCTCTCGCTGTGGCCTCTGGAAAAGTTATTTATCTGCTGGAATCAATCGTGCTCTCTCAAATGAAAAGGGGAATGAATTGTTGGTGCACACACACACTTATATACACACCTTTCAAATGGAGACGGAAGAGAACGCTTTCATTGTAATGTCCCCGTGTTAGATTGTACAACCTTTACACGTACTGCTTTCTCTGTGATTGTATGGAGGGATAAATCAGCAAAAATTAGACGTTCATACTTTGCCCTGAAAAAAGAAGAAATGTAACGTGAAGGCATCAAAGCAAAACATCTTGACCATATTGATGTTGGAATATGTTTTTTGTTGTGTACGTATGCGTTATTTTTGGATTCATTCACCAATGTAGAATATACATTTAAAAAAGAAAAAGGAAAACATTTGCATTTATGGTGAGCGTGACTAATCAGATGTTCTGTCTCTTGCAGTTGGACCTGCTGGTGGTGGATGCTGCCAAAGAGAAGAGGGACATGGAGCAGAAACACTCCACCATCCAGCAAAAGGTACACACAATATGTTCCCACCTTCACTTTTACACAAAACCCACTAAGCACATGGAAACTAAACAGTATTCACACTATTAGCACTTTGCACAACCTGCAACCAAACATTATTTTAATTTGATCTGAATATTATTGGATGCATCCATTTGTTTGGTTTATAAAATGGTGAAAGATATTGAACAATGTTTCACAGAGGAGTAAAGAAACCAGAACATATTAATAATTAGGAAGCTGGAATTACTCCAACTGATACATTGATTATATTAAGAGTTGTCCATTATTCTAATAGTTAGCAGCTAATCCATTACATTGTGCACCTACCACACAATACAACATCATTTATATTGCATAATATACAACATCATGCATAGGCGCACAATTGTGAATCATAAATGACAACGTTATCCTCCTTTCCTCTGGCTAGCAACCTGAAAAACACAGAAACAAAAACACACACACTGACTCAACAGAGTGTGCTCAACAGGGCCAGGCTACTCTGAGCCTGGATTTGTCTTGCATGTTTACAGACCTTATGACTGTTAGATCCCACAAAGCCTTGGTCATTGCACTCGGGCCTCCTCCCATTCAAAGTGAACCCACAGCACTGTGCTGTGAACATGCTGCAGGATTTAGCTTCTACCCCACATCCTCTTGTGCTCCTTCTTCACTACAGTGACCGCTCCTCTGCACTGAGCTCTCTGTGAACACTATGCTAAGATATTACAAGCCTCTGGTACAGTAAAGGTTTCAGGGTGAAAGCATTTAGCTAGGTTAATTTACATTCTGAAGACAAATAAATTATTTGTATTTGAAAGAAACATTACTTGTACAATTATTTGCCTAAGGGGGCATTCACATACGAGAGCTCAATAGATCAATTTCAGCCATTCACTGTTCGCTTGTCATGTGAGTGAATGGAGGTAGTACTCCGCCCTCAGGTGTAAGGAGATCTCCAGGGATGATCTCAGCCACACACCAATGCATTATTGACAACCGACGGAAACCCATTTCCAAACAAATGAGGTTGAGTTTCAGATCCCTCCCATCTCTGGTCAGCACCCGTGCCAACACTTATATGACCAGTGAGCCACACTTGTTGATATATTGTTAACCAGAAGGGTGCACCAGAAATGGTTACAAGAAATGAAATGGAAAGAGGAAAAAAGCCAAAAATGACATAAAAGTATCGGACCATCTTTTGCCCCCTTAACATTAAATGTATGTAATTGAGTAGCTATTTATAACATGAATGCTTTCAGTTTCTGTTCATTTCGGACACTGTGCATGTTTGAAGCTCTATGAACTTTCGCAGTATTGAATAAAATATAAAGTTAGGAATGTGTGGGGATAACATCATGTTAGAGTATGTGGTGGTTAATTGCGCATAGCTTTAAATGGAGATTACACAACATCATTAACTCCAGACAGCATCTGCCACTTCTTTATCCAGCTGTTGTCTGCTGGGCTTCTGTTGACAATTGTGTTCATTTTAGTCTCCAACTGTGTTCAAGTAGTACATCTCCCCCTGTTTGTTCTCTCCTTATATCGTTTTGTATTTTTATTTGTGTCTTTGCCTTCTCCATCTGTGTTTTCTTTTGCATCTTGTCCTCTTTCCCTCTCTGTATTCCCTCCTGCTCCTACAGTGATGGTACGTGTGCCAACTTCCGCCTGTCCTTGAGCAACTATCCTCCGCCTCCCCTCCCTCAATTTATCTAGATGCTATTTATATATCGTCTCGCTCCCAACACTCGCTCTTGCTCTCTCTCTTGTCTGGCTGCTTATACGCAGACGCTCTTAACCAACTGTCTTTTTCTCTCTTCTACTTCTGCTCTCTTCTTCTTGTACTCACTTCAGGCTGCTATTCAGGTAAGCTTTGTTACTCTTTCCTTTCTTCTTCACTGTCATTCCGTGTCATGTCTGCAGCATGTGTGAAAGATTCTGTAGACGTTACTTTAACTGCTTGGGCTCCACCTCTGCAGCGAACGTCATTTGTGACAAGACCAGCGAGCCTGTTCATCACGAGATTAAACTGGCAACACACATGATATGATGCCATTTCATAGATGTCTGTCATCACACATGTCTTTGTGACTTCAGACTCAATTTATCAATGAAATTAAGACTATTTTCATACCATAGCGATCTTACACATGGCTTTCCACCTTGTATTATGTTGCTTTTTTTGTGCTAAGTTTTGTTTTGTTATCTTCAGATGTAAAATCAACCAAAGTGTGTTGAGTATTGGCAAGAAGGATGGTCTTTGTCCTATTTATGTTCAGTTATGTCTCAAAGGTTGACTTAAGTGAAGCATACTAATAGCACCTAGTTTAATTATAACATTCTGCAATTGTGGTGGAAAATAAATGTATTGTACTGGCAAATTTACCCTGAGGAAATAGGATACACAAACATTTGTTGTCAAGGTGAGTTGTTGCACTTACAAGGTACAATGGCTTCACGTTGGTATATGGACCTCAGCTTTACAGCACAACATTGCTGAATTACTTCATTTAATATCAGGAACATGAATATTTCACAAATGTTAGAGGTCAAAGTGCACAAAAGTGATATCAGGCTGACAATCTTCGACAGGGGCCAGGTTTAGGTTTTTGCAGGTTTCTGTATCGGCCTTATTGACCAGAGCCTTTTGCAGCAACATAAACTAAGCAGACTTTTACACATCTCTCCGACTCCTCCTCTTGCTTTTGTAGTTGCGTTGGTGATGCAGGTGGTTTACCACTGTTGTTGTCCTCATCAGTTACTGGTACACAAATGTGTGAAGGTTATGGTAGTGTTGTGAAACTTCATTGGGCAGAACATGTTTATTTTATATTCTAGTATGAGTCAGAACGTGTGTTTTTAAATAAAAGCCAGAGGTCTTGTAAAGTAATTGGTGAATTTTTCGAATTGTAATGATCATGTCGGACCCCTATTATTTTATTCCGAGTCATTATGTGTTGTATGTCTTATCAATACTATGCAAACTGTCGTCTTTATTTCAGTTTGCATACAAACCTGTCCCATCATCACTTTATTGATTTAACCTGAAGGGGGGTCCCGAGGTTGTGTTTAGTATGCTGTCCATCTGCCTGTGTGCAGCGGCAGCTCTATGACCACAGAGCATGACGGTGTGACAATGGCACTAACAGAGAGAGATGTGCTGCTGACTTAAAGATTGTCCTGTCTCATAAAGAAAGACAAAATGTGTCATTGGTCTTAAAGCGGCTATAGTTTTAAGATGATCTGATTGTTTTTATGCAAGAATAAGCCATATCCTCATAACTGCCACACACACACACACACACACACACACACACACACACACACACACACACACACACACACACACACACACACACACACACACACACACACACACACACACACACACGGGAGGGAGATGAGAGCTTGAAGGGAACAGCTGAGTGCACGTCTGTTAAATGTAAGTCAGTATAAATGTTTGATGCCCGGGCTCTTCTGCACGGTCTACTTGATTATTCAAGCCCAACAGTCACACAAGCATCACACACACAGACACAGACCGAGACACATAGGTGACCTTCGCTCAGGCCTCACGAGGAGGAGGAGGAGCAGCAGTAGCAGAGGCAGTGACGGAAGTTTTGATAGACATACACAGCCGTAAGAAAGGAGGTGAGGGTTGCAGAGACGGGCCACGCTGCTTACAGTGACACACTGCCATTGAGATGCTTCACAGGGAGACCTTGAGATAGCAAAGAATCAACTGCCTCACAGGGGAACATTCACACAGAAAAGAGGGCCCAGCCTTCATAACATCTGTGAAACATGAAGATTTTCAGCCGTTTTCACTACGTTTGGTATCTGGTGAGTTTAGCAGTAGGAGGGAGATTGAGAGTATCTGTGAGACCCTGCATGCGACAGTGTCTTTGCCCATGGCTATTTATAGTAACAGTCTGTGTTTACGTTTGTTCCTTCAGGTGATTTTTCTTGTGTGTATGCCATTTTTATTTTTGACATATTCATAATTCCTTATTATACTGTGGTAGCATAAGAAATACATATTTATGTTCTCTGTGTGTCATTCTCTTGCTGTGTGCGACATTTTAGGAGGTGACTGAGCCTGAGTCTTTACCAGACTGCCGCAACTTTTGCGCTTGGAGGTCGACCTCCGTACGTAGAGTCACCGCATCGATTTCCATCTGACTTCCGCTTTGTAACCCTACCTCCCCGCTTCTGTCTCCTCTCCTCTCCTGCACACGCCAAGAGACTGCATTGCAGTCTTTGTGTTGATGTTTGCACCTTCATGTGTTTCCTCATTTTAGTGTGCCACACATGCATCAGTGTTGATGTGTTTTGATTATGCAGCATGTTCATTTTGACGCCTTATTGTTGTTGCCGGTATGGTCCGGTTGCTGGTTTGATGTCAGTGAGTGGTTTGTTGCTGTCCATTGTGACTCTTTGGATAAATGAATGAACACATCTCTGTTGTCAGGCGAAAACCTTGCGTCTTTAAAATGTGTCAGGAACTTAAAACAACTGAATAACTTCCAGTTTGACCACTACCTGTTTTTAAATATATGTGACATGGTTTCACAAACCCAAGCGGTCACTGAAATGTCTCGACCTATAGATGAAACAAGAGAACCAGACAGGATTTCACATGACAGCCAGGGTGTAGCTCTTTATGCATTTTCTTCTTTGGCCTCAGTCTTGATCAGGGAGTTTTTCATGGTTGGATTGCTGTGCTTGTTTGTTTGTGTACATGTGCGAGTGAACATCAAATACAATATCGTGGTTGTGTTTCCTAATTAAGTGAGCCATCAACTGACCATTAAGGGTTCTGAGCTGGGCATTAAGCATTTGTATGACTTAAGAATTTAGTTATTGGGAGAATTATGAAAATTGCGTTCCCCTATATCTGAGGTTCATTTTGTTCTACCTTTTAGGAAAAGTGAATGTGTTGAATGGCTGGATTAGTGTTTTCCTTTGTCTTTCTGTTCAGGAGCTTAACATAGACACAGTTTGTTCCCATTGTGCACCCAAAATAACCTCAGTCGTCCCAGTGTATGTCATGCTGGAAAATTGTGTGTCCATCCATTTGAAACATCATGGCATCATAGGGCAAAAGGGTTTAAACAAAGCTTTTGCTCAGGTTACATCCATGCAATGTTACAATGTGCAGTCATGCAACAGAAGTGATGCACTACATCAAACACACTTACGTCTCTGTAAGTGAAACTCTTCACTGTAAATATCTCGTAAGATATTTATTGTAAAGAGAAACATCTAAAACAAAGACAGAACGCAGTCACAATATTTGTTGAAGGCAAGAAATCAAAATGACTTTATAGTTACTTTCACTGAGAATAGGAATGTGTATCACATTCTGTATATATATATTTTAAAGGACTTAATGCTGTAATTGGTTGAGGAGAAGGTGTAAATGTGCCCACAAGGACACACACAAACACACCCCGGCCCATACAGACATTCATCATGGTGTTAAATGTCACTTGAAGCTAAGAAAGCTGTAAGGGTGTTAGGAAAGTGTGACAGCAGCTCAGGTAGATTAAAGCTGGACCCACCAAACTAGATTATGTTTGATTTGCATGTCGGTCTTGGCAAACTACCGAGTATGTGATTTAATTTGCTGAAACGGAAAGTCTTTACTGCATATTATCTGTACAATTAGTTTCACTAAGCAACTTCAAACACAGAGTAAGACGTTAGAAAGTACAATAGTCTGAAGCACTGAAACTGAACATTAGAAGATATTCCAGTATTTTGTTAGATTTGTTTCAGAGCATTCGTATCAAGGATTGAAATAGATCATAACTCCATCAGGAACCACCAGCTGTGCGTGTGTTGTTTCTATCTCGTCTGGTTTGGTTTGAAACATCATTCAGGTTGGTGTAAGAAGCAGCCGAGTGTTGTTGCTCTGCAGGAAGTTACTTAAGAGACTGATGGCCGTGTTTTGAGACTTTCAGGAAAGTGCTTAGTTGCTACTTCCTGCAAGTAAAAGTCACTACAAACAAACAAAAATATGAACATACTGATAGTAATTGGGGAAATGTGCATTTTATGTTTGCTGATTTTTCTGTCTGCTATTTTTCTTTCTTCCCTTTCTGACATGTTTTGTTTAGGACTTCTCGAATGACGACACCAAACTGGAGTACAATGTGGATGCAGACAACGGCATCGCAATGGAGGGCTATCTGTTTAAGAGGGCCAGCAATGCCTTTAAGACGTGGAATAGGTACAGACAGACACAGCTCAATAGGTGTCTCTATGAATAAATTAAAAATTCCATTTTATGATAAGGAATTGCTACAGTAGGCTGATTATGCATTTACAGTAAGAGGGATAATAAAGGTGCTTTACATTTGAATACCTCAGCAAGTACATGTCTTGATAAGGATCTTTTTAAAACGGCCACAAGATCTTTTTAAAACGGCCACAAGAATATAATAAGGTTGAATGTAAAAGGAAAAGATGTACAGATGAGTTTCTAATAGAATTACTGTTCCCATCATATTTTATCCTGAAGTAGAGTTTATTTTCTCTGCAACATGTATGATACATATTGGTATTTAGAATTCCTTATTTTGATAACACCTTCTACACACCAGTTCTCTCTCTAGCCATCACTGTTGTCCACACTAAAGTTATATCAAAGCTTTCTGTTATTTTAGGAGCGTCACTAGCAACAGCATGTGACTTTGTTTTTCTCCTCTCAGGCGTTGGTTCTCCATCCAGAACAATCAGCTAGTTTACCAGAAGAAGTTTAAGGTATGTCAAGTGACTCCGTGCACACAGACCACAATCAAATATGCATGTGTTTGACTTCCAGCACAAAAAACCCTCATGTATTTTTAACGGGATGCAGTAGCTTGATTTAAGAGCTGTAGTAGACAAATCTAAAGATATGTTTAGTATAGAATAAACCACAGCTGCTTGTGTTTTCTATGTATATGGTAATATGATCCAATCCATCTCAACATATATACATTTTTTGTATAACAACAACAATGTTTACATTTAGCTAAAGCTCAGAATGGAAAACATCTATGCTATTAATTAAAATAAAATAGTACATTTCTTTTAGTCATGCCTTATTTCTCAATGGTGGTAATACCACGCCTTGGTTTTGGAGAAAAAAATGCCTACATCCTGACAGCTTAAAACAAACCAGTCATCTAGTAACTGCAGTTGATTAAAAATGATGGCAAAATATAGTTTGGGATTTGTACTGTTTTAACTTTTCATTAATCTACACCTTTTATTGTGTTTTACAGTAAATGTTGGGCGTTTAGCATTGTTTGTGTGTTTGAGTAAATAGTGTTTAACCAAAGTGGCTGTGCTGTCCTACAGGACAACCCCACAGTGGTGGTAGAAGACCTGAGGCTCTGCACCGTCAAACACTGTGAGGACGTGGAGCGGCGCTTCTGTTTCGAAGTGGTGTCGCCCACCAAGTAAGTTTGAGTCTACTGGAATATGTTACTGAAGGTGGGAGGCAGGAGTAGTAATGTACGAGCCTATACACACACACACACACACACACACACACACACACATACATATATATATATTCAGCACACAGCAGCTCTGTGATGTGGTTTGTCCCAACAGGAGCTGTATGATGCAAGCAGACTCGGAGAAGCTGCGTCAGGCCTGGATCAAAGCCGTCCAGAACAGCATCGCCACTGCCTTCCGTGACAAGGGAGACGAAGGCGAGGTAAAACCAGAAACACAGAGACACTGAGGGGACAGTCAAGGGGTTCTCATATACTTTAGATACATAAATCATATGGTGACTCATTTAACGCTGTTTATTTATGTAACACTGATTTCCCATACTTAAGTTTACATTCTGTTTACACTGTTCACATTACACCATGGGGACAACGTTTCATTTAGGTAGATATATCCTTTCTTAATGATTTTTTTTTCCCATCCTTCTGTGCCTTCTCTCTTTCTGTCAGAAGCTGGACAGGAAGTCTTCCACGTCAACAGGAAGCCTGGACTCTAGTGGGGAGCCGAAGGAGAGACCACTGAAAGGAGAGAGCGCCCTGCAGAAGGTCCTGGTGATCCCAGGGAACACCTGCTGCTGCGACTGCGGCCAGCCGGACCCCCGCTGGGCCAGCATCAACCTGGGCATCACCCTCTGCATCCAGTGCTCCGGTATCCACAGGTAAAGTACTATGATTTCTGTAAACAAAGCCTTTTTTATAGATATTTTTAATATACATGTTTCAAACAGCTGTATACATAACAATGGTAGCAAATAAATGACCTACAATTACAAAGATTCATCAAGGATATAGATCAATAAAATATCAAACGCACAAAGGAACACAGAAAGTCTTGACATACATACCCATACATCGAAGTGTTATGGACACTTAAATACATTTAGTCGATAAAGCAGAAAACTTGCAGAAGCTAATAAACAGAAGAACCTTGTATCAGCATATTTTATTTAATAATCTTCTAATTTGCAGGAATAAAGTTAATTCTGAGTTATTTTTGGTTCATTGACAACCGGAAAACACTGTTTGCTTTGTTACGAAATATCTTTCCCGCCAGGGCTGTGTTCAATGCTTTGTACAAACTGTTGGTCTGGAGGGATTTAGGAAATGTAAACCCAGTGTGTAGAACACCCAGCCTGCTCAGGATGTCTTTAAGACCTTTCATCACTTTAATTACCAGGGTGAAATATTTCATTTTCATAAAATAAAAGTGTCCAGGGATTCAAGCCATTCTTTTCTTCACAACCTAGAAAAGTAGTACATCTTCAATGAGATTTCTCAACTGAGTGGGTTGAGGAATTTGTAGGATTACATAATAGAAACATTTATATTTGACATATATTTACTTAAACAACCCAATTTGTGGCTTTAAAAAAAATCTCTGGCACTTTGACTCAATAGAAGTAATAGATTTTTGAACGTACATAAATATTACAAACAAAGGCGTAGAACTGTTGTAATGCATATTTTTCTTAGAACTACCTTCTGTACATATTATGCTTTTGTGGTTAATGCTGCTAAGCCTACACATTTGTAGACCACCCATATACAAATTCCAAATGAACAATGCCATGTGTTTTCTTTTGTGTGCTTCTTTCACCTGCAGGAGTCTGGGAGTGCATTTCTCTAAGGTGCGATCTCTGACTTTGGATTCATGGGAGCCAGAACTTTTAAAGGTTAGGGAGCACATAAACAAATGAACACAACCATCCTGTTTGAACTGAAAGTCTTACGTTGAATCAAGTGCTGATAAAAAAATGTTCTTGAACTTCACAGTTGATGTGTGAACTGGGAAACGGAGCGATCAATCAGATCTATGAGGCTCGACGAGAGGAGCTGGCAGCCAGGAAACCCCAGCCCGGAGATCCAAGGTACAGAGCTGCTAGAAAGCATGTTGGTATTTTCACACTTACTCTCGCCCTTCATCTATATCCTATTTAATTCATCTCCTGGTATTTTGTTTTCTTCTGTATCTGACTGAAAGGACGTTTTTGTGGAGCAATTCATTAGAATAGATACGGTATGGTCTTGGTATTAAGAAACTTTCACTCTTGATGGTTAACATTTGTTTTTGATTTACATCTTTTCAACAAAATAGATTGCTAAAGTAGCTAAACTAGTAAAAAGTAAAATTCCCTTATTTACAAACGGAAACATCTGCGTTTTATTCCAAACAGGCACGAGGTCGAGGCCTACATCAAAGCCAAATACGTGGACCGCCGGTTTGTTCGCCTGCCGTCGGACGAGGAGCTTCGCAACAAAGTGGTTTCTCTGAGCAAACAGGAGAAGAGGCTGAGCAACAGCTCTGAGCATCTGCCCCCGAGACCACCACCCCCCACCCCAAAACTGAGAGCCGGTCAAGCAGGTCAGTAGAAAAAAGAACAAACATAACACACATTTAACCCAGGATTGTTGATGAGTAACAAGCTGACAATATTCAGTTGTACTGATCCTGACTGTGGATGGTTTCTGGCACTACAAAGTGTATTGAATTCAAGCTGGATAGATTTAATACCAAAAGGTTTACATGTAACCTCTTAAAATCAACATTATTTTTAGTTTTGGATAAGTCATGGTACATTTTGATAACTGGTCAGTTGATGATGGCTTTGCATATTTGGATAAGAAGTGCTTTGTCCTCTTCCCCTAAATCCAATGACTGGCTACTTGGATGAGGACTAGAGTTATATAACTCCCAATTTGAATATAGAAGAATACTCCGAAATTAAACTCTGTTTTACAAATTAATCTTCTAAAGGTTTTAAAGGTTCACAAACCCCAATGTACCACACATTGTATTCAGGATTTAAGAGGTTGGATGTTTCTGTTGTACAGATCTTTAAATTCCTTTCTGAATCAAAACACTGCATCAAGAGGGCGAAGCTTGTGTCATTTGTGATTGTTGCCACCTTCTTTATTGTACGCTCCATGTACATTTCGTACTGCCATGGAGAAGTGCCCCCCCCCACCAGCATACTGTATGTTCTGTGTGAGCAGCATATGCCTAAGCCCTCTTTGCCTCCCATTGCTTCTCGTAGTGTGTCTCTAGTGTCTAACTTTCTCTACTTACTGCCTTCCTCTTTCTCCTCTTCCTCAATCTCTTTCTTCCACCTCTCCTGTTCTGTGCTCCTGGACTAACCCCTGCTCTCACTGCCTACCCTGTAACCCTGTAACCCCCCCACCTTGCCACTCAATTTACACCCTCCACCTTCCAATTTCCAAACTCCCATGATTCCTAACGTAGCTGTTGCCCGCGGCTCGGAGGCCCGCCGCGACTCTCTCTTCTGTGCTGACGAGCTTCACTCGCTCTTCTCCTACTTTGACAACTCTGCCAAGCTCAGGAGCAGTAAGTACTAAATGCTCAGTGTTCCCCCTCCTCATCACCCCCCTCTGTCCATTTCTACTTCGGGGCTGTGGACTAACAACCCTTCATCAACTCCTCTGTTCCCCTTTCATCATCCAGACCCTTCTAATGGACCATGCTGTCATGTTAAGAGCATCGCCGAGCTTCCCATGTTTTGTTTTTCCCGGGGCTGGGAAGTGTTTCTCTCACATGGTTTTGGTCATTGTCTGTATTGTATTTGTCTCATCATATTTTTTGGTATTTAGGGTCCTGAAGCATAAGGTGATGGTGGGGGTCTCCAGTTCTCTCTCTGTTGATTTCAGCCGGGGACTTGTTTGTGTACACTGTATAAAATATAAGGACCACCTGCTGTTTCTGCCAATCGTACAGGAGATGCCAGTTGATGTTCAATAAATGATCTAGTAATAACAAACTAACTAAAAGTATTAAAGAACTTTTCTGAGGGGCAACATTAGGAGCTGCATGATGCTCTGAAAACAGCAAGAAGGTGTTCCTTTTATCTCATACACTCAGTGAATGATGTTTTATTTGACAAGTCGTGATTAAAAACTCTTTGTTTTACAGTAAAAAGTGCAGACAGCGGCATCCAGAACAGCGCTGATGGGAGCCGAGAGATGCTGGCCAACACCCCGTCCAATAACAGCCTGACAGACGCAGGTCAGACTCACACTCACACACCTCCTCTGTCATCACACAGATATCCACGCCTTTCAATATCTAAAAAAGAGACACACATTCAAAGTGCTGTATTAAATGTAAAATCTAGTATACAAAAGACATATATTGCACACTACCATCTATATTTAAGGCAGGACTCTGATTTAAGCTATTACAGATTTGAACAACGCAGGCTTGTTGAACTTTAATTGCACGCAAACTGTAGGCCTTCTAGTGATTTGGCCCATCTTGAAGGGTTGCTACACGTTTTGATGCCACTGTGTTAGATCTATTTCCAGACCTGAAGCTTCTTATCTTTTTGCCTAAAAAGAAAGAAATATCCAGAGGAATCCCCAATCACTACTAAAAATATGATGATTTTAGATATGTTTCACTATGTTGGAGAAAAGAAAGAAAAAAGTTAAAAGAAGTATTAGAGGACTTTCCTCCAGGAATTTAAAGCAATTTATAGTGCGGCGAAGTTTGGAACTTATGAGAAACAGTTTGAAGATCTATAGGGGGGAACTGTTGTTGCTTTACAATGCACAGACAAACCGAACTTTCATCTACATATTCATTGTTGATACAAATGTCTCCCATCTATCTCTTCTCAGACGCTGCAGAGCCTCCGGCCATGGCAATGCCTGCCACCCTGCCCCCCCCCTCCCCCTGTAAGGAGATGGTGTTCTACGAGCCGAAGGAGTACAGCTCCGGTCTGCAGCTCTACTGGGCCGCCTGCGCCCGCTCTCTGCCCGACATGTCGGAGGCTCTGGCCCACGGAGCCGAGGTCAACTGGGTCAACACGGAGGACGACAAGAGGACGCCGCTCATCATGGCCGTGCATGGGGTGAGCGTTGGGAAAACTCTATATACTGTATATATACTATGTTATTATCACTCATTTAATGATTTAATTCATGTAGATTTTATAGAGATTCTATAGTTTGTATTTTTGCTAAAGAACATTGTGTGGTATATACTTGGCTTCCTTCCTTGTTTTGTTTGTATCAAGCCACTAGACGCCTTAAACAGACATTTTGAACTTGTTTTCTTTCCTTTATCTTTGTGTTACTAACAGTTGAAGAGTTGCTTGGCCTCCGATGGTTTGGATGATATTATGCGATGAGTTTGCTCAAAATAAAATACCAAACTTTTACACATGCAATAAAGAAAAGAGGCCTTTACAATATTCAAAACAAATAGGCAAAACTCAAATAAAATAACAAACAACTTAAGTATTCTTTCTTCCTTGATAATGCTTATATAACTTGATAACTTAAAGGGTAATTGGACGGTTAAAAACTGTTCCCCGACGGTGTCTTTCTAGGAGGTTGCCCATCAGTCACTTTAGAGGAGGCGCTGATTGACTACAGACGTCACCTTTATGATAAAAACAAAATACTGGCCGTAACAATACTGTAAAACTTGTTTGCAAAATAAATATTGCCAGTGAAACAAAACATCTAATCTAAAATGTAAGCAGGTTTTTCTCACTGGAAAGTTTTTAATTTGTTTCACTCATGGTTCCCTTCAGGGTTCGCTGGTCACCTGTGAGTTCCTGCTCCAGAACGCAGGTAATGTGAACCAGCAGGACGCTCAGGGCCGAGCGCCGCTGCACCACGCCACCCTGCTGGGACACACAGGGTGAGTCCTTCACATCATCATTATTACTTCAACAAACTTATACTCACAGAATATTGGGGCATTTTGAAGAGTGGGATGCAACACGGATTATATGTGAGCTCAAGACAATGACAAACCTTTCTCTCTGTTGTAGGCAAGTGTGTTTATTCTTAAAAAGAGGAGCAAATCAAAATGCTGCGGACATTGATGAGAAAACTCCCCTGACGATAGCGGTGGAAGCGGCCAACGCAGACATCGTCACACTGTGAGTGTTATTCTGGTTATCGATATGATTGCTATCAATATTAATAGTATTTGTATTAATCTGTAGTTATTCTTGAAGAGATGTCTGAGCTTTCACACTATGAACACACCTACACCACCAGCACAGCAACATGTAACCATTAGGGTTTTGGTGCCTTGCTTAAGAAAAGACTGACTTCTGATCGTGTTGTCAAATGTTAAGGTTCATACGTACAGTCACTGTAATAGTTGAAATAGTTCAACAAGTAGTAACAACTATCCACCACAAGGTGTCATTATAATGCAGTGGACATCCTTCTACCTCTATTAACACAGTTGCCTTTATGATCAGAGTATTTCTGTGAGAACAGTCATTAAAATAACCCTGCCATTGTGTGATTTTAGTTTTATTATTGATTGCATCTGAGAATAACCTCTTACTTCCTGTTTCTCAGGTTGCGACTGGCCAAGATGAACGAGGAGATGCGAGAGGCGGAGGGGCCCTACAGCCAGTCAGGTCATTATAACACCAACAGCCCCACCGAGATGCAGTACAGGAAGTGCATGCAGGAGTTTATTAGCCTGCAGCTGGACCAGACTTAACAACTGTGCGCTATCATTGAAACACAGGGGCAACACACTGCTAAACCAGGCTTATCAGGGGGAATGTGAAGCCAGGTTTCAGAGTCGGGGTCAGTTCGCTTCAAAAGATAACCCAGAGAAGTCATGCTCGGAGGTTTGATTATAGGGCCACTAGTTTATGAAGTGAGCTCTAGTTGAAGGGAGATTTGACCGACTGATTAGAGTTAGCTGAGCCCGACTCTGTCAGAGCTGCTCCTGTGTGCTGCTGTCCTGTGTGGGCAAATATTGGTTAGCATCAGGTCACTGTGTCAATGTGACCGTGTTAAAGCCGTTGACTCTGGACATTTCTGAAGAGTTGGAACATCAACGTTTTCAATGAAGTGACTGTTACTCCTTTAAAGTTATTGATAGCACAACATTCAAGTCACTTTTGACTAGATCATCTGTATCTACTCCCTTTTAAGTTTGAATAATATCACTTTTTAAGAGAAGTTCTGTGATTTATAGCAGCTTATGAGAAATGAGTTTTTTATTTTGGATAAAATACTTGTTGGAGTGTTTGTGTCTCCGCTATCAGTCAAAGTATCTTTGCAAAAAACGATCCGCCCAGTAACTGCCACCAGTATCCAGTGACCTCAAAGTGACGTCGGTGTCACTCTCTGGCAATAATCATGACTTTTGAATGATATTTTGTATTATCTGACCGGTCCGGTGAGGCGTAGTGTGTGTTTGATTTGAAATCGACTTGTCAGAAGTTATTTATGCACATTCCTTTAAGGGTTATGCAACTACTGTACATTGTCCTGCGATTGTTAGGTTTCCATTTGAAGTCTTAACCATTTTCGAGGCCTGTTTACTGTTTACTGATTAGAACTGTTTGTTGTCTAATTATAATGCATCTTGCTGTTGTGACATTGCTGTACAGACAACAAGTATTTTAGAACTGTTTTTTTATTACGATTATACTAGTTATAGTATGCTTACTGTATATGTTGTAAATGATGTGCATACATACATTTCATTATAGTCCGCAGTATAAGCGGGGGTTGACTGGTTGCACAGTGGTGACGCCATGAGGGGCTCTGTGTTCACATACTAACTTATTGTTTCAATTATTGTACTGTATTTACTTCCTGTAATAACTATAACGTGTCTTGGTTATTAGTTGGTTAAATGTGCTTGCTCGTTGCCCGTAATCACGGGAAATCCAGAATTGTAAGACGATGGCGGCCTTTAAGTGCCATCGCTTTGATTGTATCGAACATTAGTGGGGTTTACTCAAATATAGACAAACCATCTGAGGGTGGTACGTCATGTATATATTCATATCACCTGCTGGTCCTAGCTTATATTTATCTTAATCATAAGGAAGCTTTGAAAAAAGAATAATCATGAGTGCAAAGCTCATTTGAGTTTTATAGATAGAATGAATGATCGACCCGTTTTATCCCGCGCCATTCAGCCCCAAATCCTGGGGGGGGTCGCCAAAGCACTTGATTAAAAGGTCATTTCTCTTCATTCACGTTGACAGAGCAGCGCCTGGTGTATGTGATGTATTGATTGGCCGACGACTAGTGTGGGGATTTGTCGTTGGTTAGAGTAGAGAAAACTGGTTGTGTTGTGATTGTGTTCTCACAGGTTAATGACGTTTTTAAAAAAGTGGTTGAGGGGATGATTTTAGATTGTATGATGAAGGTAGTCATGCATATGTTTGTTGACCACAGGAGGGACTGCTACACTCAGAAATGCCGTCCATTTGTCCTGAAACAGTGAAGCATTTATACCGAGGGCTGGATGTGCCGCTTTAGATTAGATTTGTATTCGCCACACTGCTGCCCTTTTTTCTTAAGTGGAATATCCTCTGGGATCATTTCAAAAAGAAAAACAGTCAGAAATGTTTTGGACCTGAATGACACAGAATGAGTTCATCTTTTTTCTTGATTCTTTAATGTGTGCAAAGCTTGTTGTTAGAGAAACTATAACCTGCATTACAGAAAGGTCAACAGGAGTTCTGAGAGCGTTGACCACAGAGGAACAGCGACAGGTTGTCATTAGCAGAGCGGAGTCTGAAGAGCTTCCCCTCTCTCAATCACCCTCAAGTTGTTTTGCTTTGCGGGAGGATTTGTTGCCGGCATCGACTCGCCCTCTTTAAAGCCCAAGGGCCTCGCTCTTCATCAGTACCTCCAATCAGCTGATGAGTGAGGGGATGATGAAGGGTGTTCGGGGGTAATGGATGTGAGGGAGAACTAACCTCATCAATCCACCCTTTAATTAAGATGAGAGTTCCCTCGACTCAGATGTTTCCGCCTGATTGAGTGTGTGGAAGAAGAGCAGAGCGGCGGTTCTCAGCCTGCGGTTTGGGGCATTTTAACATCTCAAGGGGGAGAGTGTATATATATTTTTAAATATAAGTATTTAAAGAGTAATGTTTCTTTTATCAATATTTGTCTCTTGTAGAAAAGTGAAAGGGAAGATTTTACACTTGAACAGATTGAGAACTGCTGCTCTCTCTCTCTCTCTCTCTCTCTCTCTCTCTCTCTCTCTCTCTCTCTCTCTCTCTCTCTCTCTCTCTCTCACTCTTCTTCGCTGCTCTGATCCACTCCTGTCTATCTCTCGTTGTAAATTCCCTCTCTTTGTTTCTGTATTTTTCTTTTCTCCCTCTCCTCCCTGGAGTTTTGTGCCTTTCTTCTGTTCCCTTTCTTTCTTTGGGGTGCTGAGGCCAACACAACTGTATTCTTGTACATATACTCCTGCACTTTAAACACAATACAGTTGTTAACAAAAATGAATTTGTGGGCTTGTCTTTTCTTTCCGAGTCGATCTGCTGTTATTGTAAAGTGTCAGATGAAAAGCTCTCCGGCTGTTTTCCTTCAGACATTAGTTTGCTTCTCCTGTTCGTCCCTGTCTTTGTCTGCCTCTTTCTTGCTCTCTTTCCTACTCCGAGCCACGCCAGCACTCTGACAGGTATGGCCCACTTCTTCTTTCTTGTTCTGATGATACTGTGCATGAGCCCTCCACTCTGCAGAGGGTTGTTGTTATATCCTGCAGAGTGAAGATGCAGATTTCTCTGACAAGTTACAATTTCAGTAACAGAAGTCATACTTGCATTTGGTATTAAACGAAACATCTCGTTCCGAACGGAAAAAAACGTCTGTAATGCTTTTGTGCCATGGCAAGAGATAATGAATGATTCGTGTTTTTCTCTCTCAAATTGTACTATTTTTAAAAGTTTCTTACAGGCCTGAAAAGATAAAAGTGTGTTCAGTAACTCACAAGAAAAGAAGTAAATAAGAGGATCAGAAAACATCATTGTGTGTGACGAATGTTTGAACCCTTCTCTCTTTTATTACGTTCCCTTCTGTTGCTGATTCCTTGTGTCCTCTACCTCTTGCAGGAGATGCAACCTACCAAGACATTTTCCAGGATTTCACCCACATGGCTTCCAACGATCCGGACAAGCTAAACCGCTACCAGCAGTACGACCCACAAAACCCTGACACGGCAGAAGCTCCGTCCACTAGCACTCAGAGACCGTGTGCTAAACCCCGGAGAGACTTGAGGAGGTCAGGAAACACGACGTCCACCCCCCGACAACCTCGGTCAGCGTTAGAGCCGGTCCGTGCTGCCACAGCTGGACTCCTGTCACGTGTCGTCAATCGTGAACAGCAAAGCTCACTTTGTCTTTCTTTAAACTGCTGTCCAGTACTTGTATTCCTGATGGTACAGTGTTGAAGCCTTTGAAAGGATTTGCAAAGTCGTAACAAATCAAAGTGATAATTGAACTGAATGTAGAGCTGCCATTACGGCTGTCAGCTATTTTCATCTTTTATATCACTGTCAAGAGATTTCCAAAGGCATTTTCTTAAAAAACAGGTGCTGCATCCGAGTTGTAAAGAGGTGAGTGCATGACCCACTTTGAAATGCTCCATTTATATTTTAAGTGCTTCCTCTTCTTAATAGGATTTGTTTTATGATAGTAAGCATCCTTTTTATATCAAAGTGTTGCTTCAGTGAACTCTCAGCAGCGTATCTATGCTTTTACTTATTTGCACGAATCCCTGTATGAAATCGCCACTGATGTTTACCAGTTTTGATGGTAAGACTTTGACATGTTAAACAATGTACTGTGATTATTCAAGTAAACGTGTTTTTAATGCCTGCAATTTTAAATATATATATTAGTTTTTTACTTTTAAATGCTAGATCTCTTTCCTCTGGATGATTTTAATTTCTCATGTCCCCACGTCAGAGGTAATCAGCCCTGAAGTGTCCTGATTCATGTCGGTTAAAAATAGCTCGTCGAGATGATGGTAATTTGTAGATTCAGTCTCTTCTGATTTTTGCTGATCTTCAAAAGTTAAGATTTAGTTGTCAAATCAAAGTGCTCTACAATAATCTGAATGTAGATTATATTGCAGCTATTGTATGCCAGTTGATTTGCCAGGACTGTGTCATTTGGTGGTAATTATGGAAAGATAGGATTTTCCCTGAAAGAAGAACCCAAGTTAATGCTCAGTTTAATATGGAAACTTAGGTCAAACGCAGTGGCTTCATACTACACAAAGCCACCGGTGAATCTCTTTACAGTGCAGGAGCTCACGCTGTTTTGATACAGGAGTCAAAATAACATCATACAACTATACTTGTAAAATACTGAAAAGATAGATAATAACTGACGATAAATGCATTGAATAGCTGTTGCTGAAAGATTCTGAGCATAAATGACGTAACAATGTGAGTTTAATTTCATAAACTAAGTTTTCCATTTAATGTTCAGGTTCATCTGACCTGCTGTGCACTTATTAAGACCTCTTGTTATGCAGGAAGAAGATTGAAATGAATTTATTGGGCAATTAAACACTGCCTCTGTTTCTGCCAGCTACTAACCTTTCAAGTAAACGTCAAAGGAAGTTCATTTGGAAACTATAGAGCTGTCAAGTGTTGCAGAACACTTTTTGACAGTATGTGAAACGTCCAGTAATATACGCACACACAAGATGGATGACCTGTAGTTGTAGAGTCGCTGTCATTTCATGTGATGAGTTGTTCAAAAGCACTTCACTTAACAATGTTTGATTTAGTTCAGACATCAGACGACTGCACTGAAATTCTCCAATCCAGAAATGAATCCTGCAAATTCCCTGATGGACGTCATGTGTACTGTAGGATGTGTGTGTTTCCTCTAAAACTGTACAGTCCTCTCTTCTTTGACATGAATAGTGTTTAGTGAAATATGATTTTCTTTTAGCATGCAGCATGGGATACAATTATTGTACATTTTGTACAGATGCTTTTGAATTCTCTAGAGATCTGAAGGTAGAGGTACTTGAATCATTAAATACGCTTTTGTAAATGCGGTTCTTTGTATTTACATTTAGCCACTTTTATATTGCCTGTGTGTGTACCAGTATACATCATGTAGTGTATATTCTACCTGTAATATGTAAGAACTTCAATACAAATGGACTGAGAATTCATCACCAAATGTTGACGCTTTTTTTATTTCAACCACTTCTCCTCATTTGGGTTTGTTTAGATACAGGGATGTTTGTGGAGAGGATGGGACTTCTGTAGTAATGGAGACCACTCTGGTGCCAATTCCACAACATTTGATATTACACTTGTTTCATTCATGTCGCTCATGTGATGAACAGACAGTTATTTTACTATTCTCTTGGGCTATTCTATTATTTAACTCTAAACAATTTCATGTATTTGTTCTCAAATATTCATTAAATTCTGACTTTTTATCTCAATAGCAAGACGGATGATTTATTCACCAGCCAGCAGTTGTACATTTATTATATTTTTTGTACCACATAATTAATCCACTCTGGATGTCATTTTTTGCTTGTACTTCCTTTAGAATTAAATCTGAATAGTCTACACTGTAGAGGCTTTCATTTGATATTTGAGGATTATTTTCTGAGATAAAAAAAAGTAAATTAGGAATAATAATAATTGGTTGACAGACTTCTTCACTAAGCCTCTTGCAGGTATTTCTTAGTTTGTAATAATAGTTTCAGCCATGCAAATAACATTGAGTTATAGTTATCATCCTGAAACAGGGTTGAATTAAGAAACGTTGCTTTATCAAACATTCCCATGTTTAAAGTTATTCAATTAATGTTTATAATCATCATTTTTAAAGATAAAAATAGGCACATTTATTTACTTATTATTGTATGCTTTATTTTGCAACGAAATCAATAAATGAAAGATATTATACTGTCGCATGTATGATCAGTAATTCACCCTTAAAGCCTGGATTTGAACAAAGTATGCCTCAAATAAAAAATAAAATAAAAAATCCCTTTGAAATGACCTCTCTGGTTTTATTGGTTTTAATAGAACACACAAAACTAGAACTATAGCCAATCAATCTCCTCCAGCTATAAAGCTTTCCATGTGAAAGGCTAACGCAGTAAAGAATGGCTCAGTGCCATAGTGTGCTTTTACGCTCGTCGCGAACAACCCTGTAACAAAAATGATTTCTGCGTATCATTGTTTTCTTCTCCTTTCAACACACTAACTAATATTGAAACGGTCAACGCAGGGTACTTGCCACCTAGGAAGATACCGGCTCTGATGTCCTCCTCCACACTGCTCTGGATGTGCACAGATCACAGACTGTAAATATTATTTATGACTGAAACAACATTTGGAACTTATTGATGGTTAAAAAACTACCTCGAGATATAAAACTCAGTCTTATTGCCATTGTGCTCCTACATGTAACAAAGAATAGACAATATACAAATAAACAAATTCCTTTTCTCATCTGAAAGTATTTCTTGTTGTTTGATTGAAGAACCTTGTATCTTTCCTTAAAAGATGTGCAATGTAAATACATGTATTCTCATTACATTCTCCTGGTAAACCTCCTTTTAAGGAAAGGCAGTGTTATATGACTTACTGTCATGTGATGACAAAACATTTAGAATGTGCAAGCAGTGGTGGAAGAAGAATTCAGATGCTTTACTTGAGTCAAATATTGTCAAAACATTGAATTACAAGTTGCCCCATCACCCCAGCCACAAACTGTTCAAACTGTTCTGCCGTCTGGCAGGCGTTACCGCAGCATCCGGACAAAAACGACCAGATTCAGAGACGGCTTCATCCCGCAGGCAATAAGACTGTTAAACAACTGAACTGCTGAAACAATTTCATGACATTCATCTGCTACTTAGTAATTATTTATCTATTATCTAATATGTCATTCCAATAACTTGTATATAGACTCGTATCGCACTATTCCACTTGTTTAAAACGATTTTTCTTTTTGTATTACTTTTAATATAGTATATTTTAATATTGTTTTAATATTGTCTGCTTATCTGTCTTATTGTGTTGCATTGTTGGAGAAGCCTGTGACCTAAGATTTTCAACGACATAATTACTCTGTAGCTATGTTAGTTTGACAATAAAGAACCTTGAACCTTGAGGTCTTCCATTAAAAATATTGCTTAAATAAAAGCACAAAAAGTACTATCAGCAAAATGTACTGAAAGTATAAATAGTCAAATTAGTCATTGTGCAGAAAAGTTGCCTTTGTGTGTATATATTATATTTATATATGTGACATTTCCAGATAATATTGTTGCATCAGGTAGTATTTTACTGTTTTACAAACAAAGTTCTGGTTGACTTTTTTACAACATATTTGAATCATTTGACTCTCCCGTGACTTTAATAGTGCGTTCACTAGTTTAACATTTAGAGATGCATTTTGTTAAACGTAGCTAAACATGTTGTATAAATGTAGTGGAGTAAAATTACATTATTTCCCTTTGAGTGGAGTAGAAGTACAAAGTAGCATAACATGGGAAGTACCTCAAAATTGTACTTAAGTACAGTACTTGAGTAAGTTACTTCCCAGCTCTGGAGACTTTATGTCTAAACTCAAATGTGAATAATATTATTTTCATATAAAGAGGCTCCATTCATGAGTACACACTGACGGTGGGGTCATGCATTTATTCCAAGTTGCCAATCTTTATAACACATTCGTGGGATTTATTAGGCCAAGTCCTAGTCCTTCCTTTAATAATTTAAAGACTCTGTTTTATTCTATGTGGCCAAGTAGTTGGCCAAACCTACTTCGTGGTGTGTGTAGTGCTGTGTGTGTGTGAGATATGGTGTGTGTGTGTGTGATTGTGTGTTCGTGTGTGTGTTGTGTGTGTGTAGTGTTTGTGTTGTGTGTGGTGTCTGTGTGTGTGGCTGCTGTTGTGGTTGTGTGTGGGTTGTGTGTGTGTGATGTGTGTGTTGAGTGTGTGTGTGTGTGCGGTGTGTGTGCTGGTGTGTGTGTGGTGTGTGGTGTTGTTGTGTGTGAGAAATACAAATAAAGAAAAACATAATTTTAGTATGTCAGAAATAGTTTTATTTAACAGGATATAGCACCCTATTAGGTCTCAAAGAGACACTTAAACCATCGACTATAAATACCAGATTATATGTGTTAAGGAGTGTTAAGGTCTACCTGATGCCCATCTGGAGCCACTGTGCCTGGCTCCTGAGCTTTCTCTCTGTGAATCGGCCCGGGCCTTTTCCAGGAAGTCTGTGGTCTGCTGGCCTGTGGAGAAGCGAAGGGCCGCCGCTGGAGACGTTTCCCTCCATAAAAACACCATGTGAACAAACCCTGAGAGGGCCAAGCTCCATTAATGATGCTCGGCTGCCAGGGAGCAAACTGCAGAACAGACTCACGTTAACAAGTCCAGTGGTGACTGAAGTCTCCTTTACTTTAAACTAATAAAAAGAGAAATGGCATTCGGCTGAGATAAACTTACTTATGCAAATAATACCAAGTCTAAATATTGCTACCTACAATTAGCATACAACCTTTGATTTGATCCACCTTAATATACAAAATAGTATAAGAAAACTTTACTGCAAGTAAAGTCTCAGTTTACTTGACTATAACTGAAGATGTTTTGATAGACTATAGTAAAATGTATAGGTGTGAAATCATTTAAGAGATGGATACATTGTGACATTATCTCTGTTCCCTTCCTACAAGGTAGAACCTTCATTTACCTTTCTTTTTTTTGTTTCGATACTTTATCGAAAGACAGATGTAAGTCAACAAGTTACAATAACATCAATACTCACCCTCAAATAAATAAGGACAGTGGTGGAAAGTAACAAAAAAACGTTACAAATTAGCTCCTCATCAAGCAACTGCACTAGTAAAATGTTTCCTACACATTAATCCATTAGTTATGACATAACTCATCTCATGGTGCAGTGTTCTACATTAAATACTAAAGTTAGTATTTGTATTATATTGTTATCTTTTGATAAGCTACGGCCGCGAAATTGAGAGCCTTCTTCTGTCATTTCAAAGACGTGGCAGGACACAGTCAGAACTTCATCATTTTGGGCTTCATCTCTTCATCACCTCTAAAAAGTTCCACACTAGCAGAAAACACCTCTCTGTTTAGGTATTAATGCTACACAGCACCGTGCTAATATTTACCCCGGCCGTGTTAACACTGAACAGAAAGGTTCCCGTTTCACATTTTGGAGCAGCCTCGCTCTGTGAATCCAAACAGTTCTGCTTGTATTCAAAGCAGATGATGAATGGACCAAGTGCATGAATAGGTGCAGTGTTATGAGCAACCTTTCACACCACAATATCCCTCACCCACACTCACACTGACAAGCAGGGGAAAGGTGGAGGCAGCTGAGGTGTTGGACAGCGTGCAGTAATGCATAGCACCGTGCTCCTCCTTCACCAGGCTGCAGGTCTCCACCACTTGTTTAGTTTCTGTCCAGCCTGCCTTCCCAGAATTGTTTTATTCTTCCATTTTGTGGAGACTCTCTCTCTCTCTCTCTCTCTGAGTGATGCCTCTCCAGAGAGCCGTGCTCCACGCTGAGCCGTCAGTCTTTCCTTCAGGTCTCCCCAGCGCAGGAGGTCTGGGGTCCAGCTGCTCAGAGGATGGAAACCTCCTCTCTCTCTGAGCCAGCAGCCAGGGCTCCTCCTGTCCAGAGAGTGTTTGGACAGGGGAACCCAAAGGTCGGGGAAGTGACCTTTGTTACCAAGCAAGTACTGGACAGACCAGCTGGGAACATGATGTAAAATGACCAACACTATTCTCCCTCAAAGTCTGATGTGATGACACACTTAAAGAAGTCTGCTTATATTGTAGAATTGCCCTACTGTAAACAAATGAAAGATAAAAACTAACAATGTATTGATACAACGTGCTTTATTGGAGGCACTATAAATCTATAAATATTTTAAATGTGATTTATTTTGATGTGAGCGCTTTGAAGTAAGTTTGAGAAAATAATGTCTTAACCAGTTACTTTGATTACCTCCCAGCTAACTTTCTATTTCTATTTTGTATTTTTATTAATATTTTTATGTAAATTCAACAAAAAACTTTTCATAGACCTTTCATAGAAATATTCATAGAAATAGATGGACTCAAATCCTATTCAAAGAGGTCCAGTGTAGTGAAATAGTGTGCATTGATCTGGAGT